CGGCATTCAATTAAAGACTGCAATTGGGATTGCAGGATTGCTGTCACTAAGCAATGTGGTTGTGCATTATGATTACATCCCTTAGTGACAGGAATTCCATCCTCAATTGCTGTCTTACGCTGAGGACTACTTTTAATATTATGCTTTCATCAGAAAGTAAAATCAAACGGAAAGCTTTCAGTAATGTGTAATATAGTATCTTTACATAACTAAAGGAACTGGAGGTCTATAATGAGGCACCTCAAAGGTTCAGGGTTGTGGGATTTCTAACCACATTTTGAAGTTTAAACCATTATCCAGCAGCTGTTCCTATCAATTCCCTGCCCCTTTCACCTTCTGGTAACCAAAACATCCAGACATTTGACCACAAGCAGCATTATCAGCTGCTGCTACTGGGTGGCTTACAGTATATCTATAAAATATATACAGTAAGAAATAGTTTGACTTCATAGAACAATAGGGTTGAAAGGAATCTCAGAGAATGACTGATAGATGAGAAGCCAGCTTCTGTTTAAAGATCTCCAGTGAAGCAGACTGATCCTCCTGGCATCTATACTGAATCCATTCTCCTCTCCTCAGTGTGTGTGTGTGTGTGTTTGTGTGTGGAGTCTGGACCCTCTTCGGCATGTTCTCTGTTCTCATATTTGAAGACTGCTATGAGCTCAACATAACTGAAACCTTCTTGAGCCAGGCTTCCAAATCTCTAACCCTCATGGTACTATTTTCTTCCTGATCAATTTTAGAATATTATATTATATTATGTTATTATATTATATATCTTTTTCAAATTTCATCTTTTTACTGTAAATCTTTTTCTCTCTTCTCGGAAGTATTAGCCAACCACCTACCCATCTCCAGTTTATGTTGTATGTTAACTGATAAGCATCTCTTTAATTCCGTCCTCCAAGTAAATGGGTTGCCATTTGGTCATGAACAAGATGATAATAAGTAAAAGAAGAGCCAGTTTGGTCTAATGGTTAAGGTAGCAATTCAAAAACTGGGAGACCATGGCTTGAGGATGGAGTCCAGCCATAGACATAAAAGCCAGTTGGTTGACTTTTATGGGGTCAGTCAGTCTCTCTCAGTCAAATCCACTTCATAGGGTTGTTGAGAAATAGAGAGGAAGGAGTATTAGATTTATTTACCACCTTGAGTTATTTATAAAAACAGGAGTTTTATGGCACTTCACACAAAACTTTCCTCTAAACCGAAACTGTTAGCAATCAGTCTTTGTGCACTATCTAGCTGATATCTTATTATTTTTTAAGGAATCTAACCAGAGAGATTTTGCCAACATCTATTATGTCTAATGCACTCCCATTATTTATTTAAGTTAACTAATATTATTAAAGGAGATTAACATTAGTCGGGGTAAGCCAATCCATATAACTGAATTCTAGAAGAAATTTCACTGTAAATTAACAGGGATTATTAAAGGGATGAAGAATGAGATAAAAGTAACATGAAAGTAACATATATAGCCATGCTGAAATGACAGCTAGTGGCAAATCATCGGCCATTTGTTGAAAAAAAAATTAAAACATGCTAAATTATTTAGGCCTTCCAAAGATTTCCATTCTGATTTTAAAAACTGTAGGAGGAAGGAAAGGAAGACTCATTAAACTGAGAAATCAACCCATCTTTCTCCCCAGTAGTTCTAAACATTCAACAGGTTATGTAGCAAATAAGTATCCGAGGTAATGTTTGGTGTAAGAAAATATGCATGGATCTGATAGAGAGTTTAAAATAATGAGCTCCTAGTTCTATGATCTAACAGATTAAAGTTCACTTCTTAAATAATTTAGTTTAATCAACCTGGAGCTGATGACAGTGATTCATCTCATTACTCTTATGTTAGAGGTGAAAGGGCCTCTTGCTGCTTGACACAGTCTGGGTGAGGTCCTGATAAGCTAGGTGTGCCAACATTAACAATAAAGCATGCATAGTCATACATCCATAGAAATATGTAAGAATCTGAATAGATTATGGCATAGAATTTGCAGATATAACATCACCAATTTTTCCAAAAATGCTGACATACTTTGCAATATTGAAGGTATGATATTACTGAGGGTAAAGGTAAATTGTGTTTTGCTTGGGCATGCAATATCGCTGAATTTTTCAAGAGAAATGATGGTCTCTGGGCAATATAGAGGGTAAAAATATAAGCATTTATTTTTATACTCTGTTTTTGTTTGATCTAATTTAACTAGTATTGAGATAGCTTCCAAGTGCAATATTTGATATTTTAAAAGCAACCATATTTAGAGCTAGTTCTTTACTTATTCCAAGTAAAAATGGATGTTGTTGCCATTTAACTAGACCACATATATGTATTAGGCATAAATTATAGTAGATTCACACATAAAACATAGCAGCACTTTTAACTGTTATTTTATATGTTGTTTGTTTTCTTGTTTGTTTTATATCCTGCATTCATTGTTTTTACAAATAATTCAAGGTAGCAGACATATCCAACACATGTTCCTCCTTCTATTTTTCCTAAACAACAACCCTGCGAGATAGAACAGGCTGAGACAGATAGATTGACCCAAAATCAATAGTTGCCAAAGTTCTTGTTCTGTACATCAACTGGTGTACAATTATTTTATAACTAGACTAGGTTAGTTTTTTCAGTGTGTTTAGGTCTAGTAGGTTCACTGAAACTAAAATATACCATTTAACATGAAACCTACTTGATTTCTGAAATAATCTGCTGTATTCTGAACAAAATAAGATTTTGATTAATAATCTAAATTATATACTTTTAAATGTCAATAATTCTTGAATTCAATATTCTTGAATAATATCTATAAAAGGGAAGGCCTCCCATGTTTTATTCAAGGCACTTCAGGGAAACTAATTTATTTTTTATTATTTACACAAACTGCTTTTATTTTGCTTTAACTGGCAAATCTAAGAAGCTAGCAAAGTTAAAACTAGTGTAGCTATAAGCCTAGTGTCTGCAGCACCAAGTAGCCATGCAGGCCAGCAATGAGCAGCCCAAAGGTGGCAGTGGGCAGAGGCGGCACAAGCAGCATGGCTCCACTGGTGGCGGCTGGCAAAGGGGCCCTGGCAGGCTGGTGGCCCAGCAGGGCAGCCCAGAGACGTGTTGCCAAGGTCGGTGAAGAGCCCCCGCGAGGCCAGCAGCAACAGGGACAGCCACTTGGCAGGTAGAATGGGGCCCGTCGCAGCCAAGAAGTGTCCCAGCAGCAGCTGGGCCAGCAGGCAGGTTGGGTGAGAAGCACCCTACTGGCCAGGCACTGAAGCGCTGCCGCTGCTGCTGCAAAGAGAGAGAGAGAGAGAGAGAGAGAGAGAGAGAGAGAGTGTCTCTCTCTCTCTCTCCCTCTCTCTCTCTCACACACACACACACACACACACACACACACATGTCCCTCACCATCCCCCACCCCAAGGCAGCCACATCCCTTCACTAACCTGCTTTCCAGCTCCGTTCTCCCCTGTGTGAGCAGGGCAAGAAAAGTAGTCTGTGGGACTACGTAAAAAAAAAAAAAAATAGTTCAGACCTTCCAACTTTTCAAAATCTTTTCTTTTCTTTTTTTTGAGAAGTTGGAAGGTCTGAACCAGGAGTGAAATGCTACTGGTTCGCTCCAGTTTGGGTGAACCGGTAGTGATAAAAACTATTGGTTCTGGCGAATAGGTAGTAAAAAAAATGCTTTAAAAAAGTAAAAAAAAAAAGTTCTGACGATCGCGCGGCACAGCTGTGATTGTTGAAACTTTTTTTAAAAACCTTTTTTAAAGCATTTTTTTTTACTACCGGTTCGAGCGAATAGGAAGTAAAAAAAATGCTTTAAAAAGTAAAAAAAGAGAGTTGGCCATACCCACCCAGTCACATGACACCCCCCCCCCAAGCCATGCCCACAGAACCAGTAGCAACAAATTTTACATTTCACCACTGGTCTGAACTATTTTTTTTACCATAGTCTCACAGACTATTTTTCTTGCTCTGCACGCGCAGAGGAGAACAGAGCTGGAAAGCAGGTTAGTAAAGAGATGTGGCTGCCTTTGGGGGGTGGGAGGGGTGAGGGACCTCTGTGTGTGTGTGTGTGTGTGTGTGTGTGTGTGCGTGTGAAAGAGAGAAAGAGAGACAGAGAGGAAGGGAGGGAGAGGGAGAGAGAATGTTCCCACTTTTTTTCTCTCTCTCTCCCTCTCTCTATCTCGCTTTGGGATCTCGCTTTGGCCTCAGCCAAAGTGCAGCAAAGGCATGTGCGGGGCAGCCGGCTGCTCGCTTGAGGAGGGTCTTTTCTACTTGTGTGCACGCTCCCAGATCCGCCACAGTCAGCCAGGGGGTTGCGAGAGGAGAAGGAGGGGGAGGAGGAAGAGGAGGGAAGCCTCCGCCATGGCTCATGCTTGTTCCTTAGCCAGTCCGAATTTCAAAAACGTTGCCAAGAAGAAAGAAAAGGAGTAGCAAAGAGCCCCAAGGAGAGTTGCTGGGCTTTCTTGCATATGCAAAAAATTAAAATCTCAGGTGTTTTCCCGCATCATTGTAAATAAGTTGGTTAAAATGTTTAAAATTCTGGTTAAAATCCCAGCTTAAAATCTTCTTGTAAAATCTTTACAATGACGCGGGAAAACACCCGAGATTTTAATTTTTTGCATATATATATCTTTGGTGAGGGCGCTCCGGCTTTCTCTGAGCCTGACCTCCGGGTTGGGTGTGCGAAGTTCGGTGGGGCCAGCTCCCTTTTCTCACTGCCCTGAGCTTCTTAAAGCTGTGGCTGGGCACTATGGGCCCGTCCCCCTTTCCGTCGTCCCATCCTCCTGGATCCCATTCCCACCCTGCTAGCCCTCATGTTAGTGAGGCCGGTGTCAGTCGTGGCCAGGTTGGGCCTGTTTCTTGGGGTGGAGAGCAGGTCGAGCATCTCCCCAAGCAACCGAGGCACGCCCAACACGAACAAGGGTTGGAAGAAGCTCCAGCAAGAGTGAGGTGCCGGAGAATCAGCCCCGGCCGCTTCTCCATCCCCCGCCATTGCCCTTACCTTCTCAGGCCAGTTGAGGAGTGACTGGGAAGGGAGGGCGAGGGGTGGGGCCAGCCAGTGATGGGGCAGGGAACAGCAGCAGAAGGCCCAAAGAGCTGCATGTGGCTCCGGAGTCGCGGGTTGCCGACACCCGCACTATAGAATATAAATAAGAGCCTTATATAGTAAGGTTAATAATTAAAATGAGGTAGCCCTTGATTTACAACCACAATTGGAACCAGAATTTCTATTGCAAAGTTTTGTTAAATGACCTGCGCCTGATTTTATGATTTTTTTTGCCATGATTGTTAAGCAAATAACTGAAGTTAAGTGAATCACATGATCATTAAGCAAGTCTGGCTTCCCCCATTGACTTTGCTTGCTTTTCATGCTGATTGCCAAGCACTCAAATTTTGATCATGTGATCACAGGGATGCCACAATAATTGGGGATGCCACCGTGATTATAAGTGAGGACTGGTTATAAGTTATTTTTCAGTGCCATTATAACTTTGAATGATCACTAAATTAATGGTTATAAGTCAAGGACTAGCTGTATTTAAAATTTCTATCAATGTAAAATATGATTTCTGATATATAAATGGCAGAGCATTGCTTAAATTGTACAATTGATGCTGAGTATAATATTGAGAAACTGTGAGATATGTTCAATTAGTTTATAAATTAAAAAATAGAGTGGGGGGAACTTGGAGATTAAATACTTATCAGTATTTAGCAGTTCTTTTTCGCTTTCTCTTTTAATATAAATTACAATACAGTGGAGACCCTTGGAATTAAGCTCAAAGATCCAACAGCCAGGATTTTTTTACAGCTTTCTGAATGTTAACTATGAGAATGCTTATTTCAAGTTCTACAGAAAGGGAACTCTAACAGAGAACATTGGAGTATAGTAACCTAATTGGTACAAACATAAATATAACAAGCATAAACCCAAGAACACCAAATGAATAACAAAATAAGGGGAAATAAATCTTTCCCCCCCTCAAATCTCCACAGAAAAATCAGTAAGAAATATTAAAGCTTTAAGCCGGATGGAGGGGAGAGCTGATGTCAAAAAAAAATTCTGTAACAAGGGCATCCCACTAACTGGACTTTCTCGTTTTTCTTTGAAGATTTTTCATTTCGCATCCAAGAAGCTTCTTCAGCTCTGAAGAAGGATGAGAAGTGAAACTTCTTCAAGGAAAAACCAGAAAGTCCAGTTGCCTCTTGAAAAAAGCACCTTTGGGAACACCATGACTTGGATGATTGAGAATCTCCATAGACATTTAGCTATATAAAAATAGTTTTAATTTTCTTGTAGAGTTGATTTCCTGGTCTGATACTTCTACTTGATAGAGTTGACAGTATCAGGTTCTTTTTTTCCCCCCTCACAACAAAAACAGTGAAATAAAAAAAAACCAACACAAGAGAGAACTTTTTTGCAGTTATCCATTTCACTCTTAAGAGCTATGCCATTTGTAGCAGGGTAGAATTTGTTTAGGCACAGCTTTGGGAAAATTATTGTCTAAAAGAGACAGAAAAATTATTACCAAACAGTTATTGAAAAATCCAGTGCTGAAGCACAATTATATTTCCAAAGCCTCCATGACTATCAAAGTAATTTGATGTACACAATAGTTTGATAATTGACTATAAGTCAATGAAAAGTCCAATTGGAAAAAATCAAAGGCTATATCTCACAGATATTTCAGAGAAGTGTTGGTCAATATAATTCTAATATTCAATGAATTAATCATTTGGTTTAGATAAAGTGTTCCAGTCTAGTACCCTTAAAGATGACAGTCTAGATGCAAGATCCGAGGGCTGTGTGACAGGATGAGCTCCTGTTATTTGCCTTAGCTGCTGTCCACTTAGCAGTTTGAAAGCATGCAAATGTGAGTAGATAAATAGGTACCATTTTGGTGGGAAGGTAACAGCATTCCGTGCACCTTTGGCATATGCCACATGACCACGGAAATGTCTTCGGACAATGCTGGCTCTTCGGCTGTGAATCAGAGATGAGCATCGCCCCCTAGAATCGGACACAAATGGACAGGGGAAACCTTTACCGTTACCTTTCCCATACTATATACTCAATAGAACAATTATATTTGCACCTTTGGGTAAATATACCTATTTATAATGCAACGCCTCTCCTGTTTCTATAATAAAAAAAATCATTAACACTTTGGTTAAATATGCAGATAAGTGATACCTTCAATCACTACCATTTTAAGATGCTAATAAGACATAAATCATGGTGCTCCTTAATAAACTTCCACATTTACCTCCAACTGATGACATCATTATGAAAAGAGAAAATACAAAAAGAATCAGACTTTGGAGGAACACAATAAAAAGAAATATTTGTGAATAAGACATTAGTTAGTTAGCAAATGTATACATTTGGTATAATGTATACATACGAAGAGCACCAACAGTTTGGTATAATTTTTAAAATGGTGCCCTAAAAACCAGAAGGTTTTAAACCAATCAGCCTCCTAGCCAGTCAACCTACCACTCAGGGTTGCTATTGTGAAGAAAACAAGACGGAGGAGAATTAGTTATACTTGCTGCCTTGAGTTATACATAAAAAGATGGGATAAAAATATTTTTCATATAAACGATTCATTCATATTGCAGTAGACTTTAGATGCAAGTATATCCTACGTATAGCAAGTCTGATTTATCTTTATCCAGAAAGCTGTCAGTATTCACAGTATCCTTGCTAGAAGTTGATCTAAAATGACATACCAATCCCATTTACTGTTTAATATTCAAACTGAGGGAGATGGTGGCCTAGTAGTTACAATACTGGGCTTGTAGACTGGAAGGTCAGCAGTTTGAGACCCAAGCACCATGTGATGGGGTGAGCTCCCGTTCTTGCCCCAGTTCCTGCTAACCTAGCAGTTCGAAAGCATGTAAAAGCAAGTGATTAAATAGGTACCATTTTGGTGGGAAGGTAACAGGGTTCAGTGCACTTTGGCATATACTCATGCCAGCCACATGACCACAGAAGTGCCTTCGGAAATGGACATGAGCACTGCCCCCTAGAATCACATACAACTACACAGGAAACCTTTACCTTATTATTATTATTCTTCAAACAGAAAGCCAATTGTTAAGACTGGTGAAAGCTCTGCAATCCTTGCTTCTTTGCAGATTTGCTGTTTCAGTATTAATTAAGCATAATTCAGAACAAATTTCTTGACTTTCTTCACACATAAAATTATATCTCTCTTGATATCTCTTGATGTCTCTCTTGATTTTATGATTTTATGGTTGGTTTTAAATTTTGATATGGATTTTAAATTGATAAATTTTAAACTATGGGCCAAATTTAACTATTTAAAATCTATTTTTAATCGTACTTATGTATAAATGTTTTTTATTTTGGCTGTTCACCGCCCTGAGTCCGAAAGGAGAAGGGCGGTATAGAAATTCGAATAATAAATAAATAAATAAATAAATAAATAAATAAATATCTGGACCTTGAGTGAAACACTCTACAAAAAGAAATACTGTACTTCTAAAATTTATCAAAGTGATGAGAAAATTAAGGCAACTGAGAATAAAGCTTAACGTTTCAATACGCATCAGAGAACTAGCCTTTTGTTGAAATTGAGTAGCATTTCAATTTGTACAGAATTAATAAAACGTGCTCACAGTCAAGAAACCACAAGTAATGTCAAACTTGAGGGGTGCATTATCATACAGATGGCACTATCACATATTTGTATCACTACATCTGATGCAAGAACATAAATTACAATGTTTGTGTGATTATTTCATGTGTTATTTTTTTCATCTGCCTCCTAGTGCTCTCACTGTGTGGATAGGCATGCGTACTCAGAATAGAAAGGCATCAGGAGCAGTTCAAAATGACAGATGGTTTGGCAACTTTTTTCAGTGAGTGCAAAATTAAAAAAAAACTTAACTATGCTACTGAGAAACTAAAAAAGGTTAATTAGCCCAAAATTGGCCTTTTAAAGACAAAATATTAAATTGTGAATTAACCTAAGTTCTACCATTCTGTCTTGTGCAGTCTCAAAGAAGAATATGAAACCTTTATTTCAACTTCCAAGCTATACATAATTTTTTGTTATGTCTGAACCTAGTTCTCTTTAGTTTACAAGTCAATGCCTAGTATATTCTCCCTGGAATCCCAAACAAAAGAAGCTTCAATTTCCAAGATGCTGCCATTCAAATCAGATCACAAAGCCTGAAATGCCACTCAACACACAGGTTATCATTATGGATAAGAGAATCACAGAATTGAAAGGGATCTTGGAGATCTCACCCCCTGCTCAAGCAGGAAACCCTATACCAAACTGAAAACTTGTCCTATATTTTATTTATACTAGGGATAGTGGGCCATTCCAAAATTGTGAATATTCTCTCAATGGAACGCCACCTCACCCAATATAGGTGAATCCTACTGGTGGCTCAGTGGCTAAGACACTGAGCTTGTCGATCAGAAAGGTCAGCAGTTCGGCAGTTCGAATCCCTAGTACAGATCTCCTGTGTGAGCAGGGGGTTGGACTAGATGACCTCCAAGGTTCCTTCCAACTCTGTTACTGAGTACAGTTTCCATTTGTCAAGAATACCTTTATATTTTTTGGATGTAATTTGCCCACTTAATTTAGTCCATAACTATATTTAATGAATATTCAAGAATATCTATGACTTCTTTGAGTTAAACAGTTAGGAGCAATAGGTTGAATGCCATCAATATATTATTTATGCAAGTAGTCTTCAATTTGTGATTGGTCGTTTAACAGCTGTTCAAAGTTGCGGCAGACCCCCCACCCCCACCCCACCCAAGAGCTACTTACAATCTGGTCCTAAAGTTCTGGCCGCTGCAGTGCCCCCATATTCATTCATTTTTATAACCAAATGCAGGATCACTGCAGCACCTCCCACCTATCTTCCCATCCTCATGGGGTCCTTGAAAATATTTCCCTTCCTCATCAGCTCCCCGCTGGCTTTAGGCCTGATTCATTCCCCACTAGGCCTCACATACTTCTCCCTTACCAGTTGAAGAGATTCTAAGTTTTCCATAGCACTGGAATGGGTTGCTTTGGCACAATTCCAAAATCATGCTGCATGGGCAAGTGGCAAACTGCTCCTTTTTGCTGTATTAACATGGCTTGCATAGTGCTACAGAAGCTTTTCACAGCTTTCAGAAGCTTGCTGCAGCACGGAAAAACAAAGTTTTGATGCTAATGCTTTTTTTTTTTTACTGCAACAGAGGGAGTTGGAAGTCAATGTTTCTTCTTTTCTTTCCCTGGTTTCTCCTCACATTTTTCTCCCCCCCCCCTGTGTCTTCCTATTTACTTCTGTATTTTATCTTATAATCTAATAAAAATGTTAAACTTTAGAAGTGTGCTGCAGCATTGTGCAACCTTGTTAAGGCAGCAAAACGGAGCAATTTGTGTTGCGTTTGCTATTTTGTCCCTGCCCACAAGTAGGTGGGGCAAAATGGCAGTTGCTTCCAAGTTGCTGCTGGACAACCAGGGATAAACTGCTCCATTTTGCTGCCTTAACTCAGTTGTGCAAGCCTGCAGATGTTTTTTGTAGTGTTCAGAAGCTCTCTACAGCGCAGTGCAACCTCATTAAGGTAGCAAAATGGATTAGTTTGTCCCAGGGCTGCATGGGGTAATTCTGGAAGTAAGGGTGCAATTTAGCCAGTGGAAGCATAACAGCTGCTTCTGAATTTGCCCCAAGCCTCTGAGGGACAAAGTGGGCCGTTACTTTGCTAACACAGTCAGCACAGGCTTTTAAGGCCCAGAGATTTCTAAAAGACTATGCCGATTGCATTAGCAAAGTAGAATGGGTTGCTTTGTCCCTCAGCCGCACAACATTATTCTGGAAGCAGCTGCCATTTTTCCAACAGTTGAACTGCATTCTGGTAGCTGTAAATATCGCTGCTGCTTCTGGAATTGTGCCACACGGTCCCATGTTGAAGTGAGCCACTCCAGCACTCTGGAAGGTCCCGGAGCTTTTCAAAAGGTAAGCCAGAAGGGGGGTATTTGGCCTAGTGGAAATCAGGCCTAAGGCTTGGGGGGAATCCAGTGGGAGTGGGAAAAGACCTGTGGGGACATGGGGATGGGGGGCAGGAAGCAGAGCACAGGATGTCTTGAGGGGGAAACCTAGGGACAACTGGTGCAAGCGGGCCTGGGCCTGGACCAGGTCTTCCCTGCCCCTGAGACATTCCATGCTCCACTTAATGACTTTCACGTTCTTTTAACAATTCATTGGAGAGAGCAGGGATGGGGGCAGTGGTGGGATTCAGCCAGTTTGCATCACTTTGGGAGAACCGGTTGTTAACTTTCTGAGCAGTTTGATGAACTGGTTGTTGGAAGAAATCATTAGGACAGAGAACCGGTTGTTAAATTATTTGAATCCCACCACTGGATGGGGGTATCATTAAGTGAGACGTTTGACTTAATGTCATGCATCCGTAATGGGCAGGCTCCATTACAATTGTATCTTGAGAATTACCTGTATGCCACTCCAAAACACTAGATCACCTCATGTAGATGTTGATGATCCCTCGAGATAAAATGAATCCCTGTGGGGCAGGGATGCTATATAATTCAATCTGGATGCTCTACAACACTATCTACATACAGTAGCCCCACAATAGCATTTTCTGAATACAGCCCAATAGGGAGAACGAATTCCATTATAAAATTGCACCTTAAGTCCCGAAAAATACTATTAGTGATGGTACTGAATTTTACTAAAGAGGTCCAAGGAAAATTAACAAACTACTCTTTCATGAAACCCCAAAGTCCTTTTTTTTTTCATATATAATAGCCACCAAAGCCCCAATTTAAATCATTTCAAATATCTTTCAGTTATATCTGAAACTATGAAACTATCACTTTTCTGATTATCTTTTCCAAAAATAGCTGAAACTGGCCTATAATTGTTAGCTGTCCTGAATCAAGGAAGAAATTTTTAAGTGAAATCTTCTTGTCTCCTGTGGAGGTCAAAGAAAAAGTTAGCCCCCAATTTTTCCACATA